CAGTCACTCGTCCCTCCGTTTTGTCTTTGGCTAATGGAACCTCTTCAATTCCTGGAAATGGTTCATCAAGTTAATATATTCGGAGGTCCCATCTCGATCAATAAAGAGGAAGTCATCCAAATAGTTGATGACTTTTGCAACATTTGCTTGGGATGTCACTGCCCAGGAAGCTGTCAAAAAATGCTGCATAGGATAACAAGTAACCCATGTGCATGGCCTTGTCAACATACCATCTACACTGAATCTTGAATCCTAAGAATGAAAATGTGTCAGGATGAACTGGTAGAATGAAGAATGCCAACTAGATATCATATTCAGCTAACAAGGCACTGGGGCTGCACTGCCAGCCCAGAGCCACTGCATGGTCAAATGATGCAGAATACCCTGTAGAGTAATAGGGGTTTATTAGGGTTCCCTTTCTGATTATTTTCCTTTACTTAATTGATCACATCATCGGCTACATGCTCAATTCTGCACCCAGCACAAGATCAGGACCTTGACAATAAGCTTGCAGGAATGGGCATTGTAACGAAATGCCAACAGGTGACATCATTCCTTCCTGTCCATCACAGAGGCTCAAGGGGGAGAAGCCAGGGATAGGGCAGGAGGGGCGGAGTTAGAGATGTGAAATGACAGTTAGGGTTTAGGAGAGAGAAGGAGAGGGTTAGTGAATTGAGCTGAGAGTGTTAGGAGAGAGAATTGAGAAGGTTAAACAATATTGAACAACCAGGAATGAAACTATAAGCACTATAAGAGAGATATTGATTATAAATGTATAGTAGTTTGGAATAAAAGTGATTGCATACATGATCCAATCCGTGTTAATACCTGATACAGTTCATATGTGATTTACCTTTACGATTTACTTCCTAGGTTCCCAACCTTTGTTACTCGGATGTTTTTGAACGGCAACTCCCAGAAACCCCAGCCAGCACAGTTGGTGGTGAAGGCTTCTGGGATTTGCAGTCCACAACTCCTGAGTAAGCCAAGGTTGAGAACCAGTGATTTACTTGACAATAAAAAAAATTGTTAATTAAACCTCTGATTCCTAAGTTCAATAACCCACAGTGTTGGTAGCACGTGTGTATAACATAATTTGGTATTAGGAGAATACCTGGTGGCAGCGTGAAGGAAAAGGGTGTGATCTTATGTGAGGGCCAAAATAAACAGGGGCCACAAGGTAGATCGCCACAGGCATATACTTACATGATGGCCCATATACAATTGTGTAAGCAAACAGATTTGGAGCATCAACTTCTAATCACACATTTCTTATTGGGTTCTTTCAAAACACTTTCCTTGATGCTTCAAAATTACTTCCTCTTATCTTGCAGGGATTTTTTTAAATCGATGGAACACAAATCCCATAATGCTGTTTTTAGTGGAGAACCATACTGAGAACTGTGAGGCTGGAGAAAGCTGTTTGCCCTAAAATTGGGATTTCCTCATCCATAAGAAACAAGACACTGATGTGCTATAAACCACACTGACTCTATTCAAAGCTGCTACATTTTCAAATCTCTTGCAGAGACCAAGTGCCCTGTTAGAAGCATTTACTAATTTTACAATAATTAAAATGAAGGGTAAATTTGACTCAGACCAACTGAATAGGTTGTTCTAACCTACATTTATGCCTCCGTGATGCTATCTGACTGATTAGTTCACACTCTTCTGCACCCGCATCCAGATTGCCAGGAAATGGCCCAATATTGTTGCACAATATCATGCACGCATTGTTGGGAGAGTGAGAACACACAATATTTCTTCACTCAGCATGTTTTTAGTCTGTGGAACTCCTTACCACAGGATGTGGTGATGGCATCTGGCCTTTATCTCCAGGCTTAAAAGGCAGGGACCTCTAAACACCAGATGCAGGGGAGGGGGTATCAGGAGACAGGTATCTAGTTGTCTCGTGTGCTCCCAGAGGCATCTGGTGGGGCCTCTGTGAGATACAGGAAGCTGGACTAGATGGGCCCTTGGCCTGATCCAGCAGGGCTCTTCTTATGTTTTTACTTGAAACATAACACCACCTGCAAAGGGCCCACAATAGTACAGATAGCTGGGTCAAGAGCCAGGGATACTCGCTTAACCCTGCAACTTACCCTCAATGGGCAAGCCCCAAGCCATGGGTCCATGCTGTCCTTTCTAGGGGGCCCTTCCCAGCTGCCAACCACCCAAGCCTCATTACTTTAGATGGGCAGTGTCCAGGGCCTATCATCCATGAATTCCCCATAGCAGCAACTAAATCCCAAGATCCATAGTGCTGAGATGTTGGCTGAATAAGGTACACCTTGGGAACCGACCAACACTCACCTCCAAGTCTGTATGACCCACCAGTGTGACCTATTTAACAAGGAAACGATGCCTGATCTGCCCATATATGCTCTGTAAGCAATCAGTACAGGATAGGCAAAGATTTTATATTTGTTTTATACACTAACCAGGTGAGACGGGTCCTCTCACCTGGTTGGTGCTGCTGCTCTCACACTGGACCCACAGAGTGGGTGGGCCATTCAGCTCCAAGAAAATGGAATGAGGGCAAGACTACCTTATAAAGGCACTCTGTTTTCTCCCTCAGACTGAACATACGGGTTAGGCCAGCAGGCATTCTCCAGCTTTCCATCTCCCCTCTGGGTGGGGCATACAAAACGTTTCTACTCATACAACTATGGGGCCAACCGTTAGCTGTATTGGGTCTTTTTATTTTTTATTTTTTGGAGAAATTAGGTCAATGTTCCTATTCAAATAAGGCAGTTCCTATCCATTGCTCTCATTACACTTTATTATTATTATCCTATATCAACAACTTGAATCTCCTCTTAAGGGCCACACTGTGCTAGTGCCATGTGCAGCATCAAGGATTCTATGGGGGAGTGGGATGTCACTTTCTGCTTTCCACACTTTGGTCCAACAGAGAAGCAGACATGAAGAAAACAATTTTTCACAAATGTATTTTCTGTCCCTACAATTGAAAACAAGCATTCTTCATGCAGGCCTATCTTTCGGCTGTTTTTGTCCAACTAATAGTGAGATGATGCATCTGTTCAAATGTGATGTTCTTCTATTTTTTTAGCAATGCCACAGAGAATATACCACTTTGATCTGAGTCCTGGTCATTACTAAAAAAGCCATAATCAGTCTTGCTCCTTGTAATATTCCCTTTAGACTGCCAGTGATCAACTAATAACAAATCTTCAGAAGGATGGTGTCAATACATCGTTGCATATATCACAATTGTGGTTAGGAATTAGGAATTAAAACAGTGATTCATTTTGACTACTTGTTATTCACTGCCAATCCAGGTGCAAGCAAAACAGCTGTTCAAATCAGGCTTTGGACGCCAGTGAGGGAGACCACATCCAAAGGGCAGATTCGTGTTCAGAATGGTGACATTAGCCTTCTGGCTGTTGCTTCTGCCTCCCATAGTATGCCAGGCTCGGGCATTCAAATGTCAGATGCCACATTCCCAGTTTAATCTTCCCAAGTACTATCAGTCAGGAGATGTTATCTATGGAGGCATTGTGTTTCATGCGTTCTTCCTATTATTGCCAAACAACTTCAGTAGACCTCCTCCAGGGCCACTACCAACTAAAACGTCTGTATATGGCTTTTCCTACTATTGCAGTCGCCTTTATTCTACTATTTTCTAATGAAATATTTTAGAATGTTTCTTATGCCACTTTCAATTGTAGTGTTATTAACTGCCACTGCAGATTTCCATCCTTCTCTCTCCAGGACCTAGACACCGGCAGATCCATCAGTTTTAGTTTCCTTTAATTGAGTTTTTGAAATCTCTTTATGATGATAGCTTGATTATTTTTCTGAACATCTGCCCTTTTTGTTTTAACAATCTCTTTTCCTACCCACACCACTTTCTCTCTTACATTATTCTTTTCAGCTGTTCTGATGATGTGATGATCCTCCCACACCAGGTTTCCTTTTTTATGAAATTCCTTTAACCGTGTTTTTTCTCCACTATCAGAAAGCACTTCAATTTCTTCCTACCTCTTTCGTGAATAAAATGGGATCATGTTAGTAGTTTTCTATTCTTCCCAGTATAATTGCACAATTGCTGCTTGCAGTTCTATCTAATAATTCAAGAATAACAATTTTCAGTTATACTGTACACCGGAGAAAATCAAAAGGATGTACTCTAAGAAATGAGACACATATTTCTAAATGAGAACTATTCCATTCACCTACTACACTGGCCTTCCGTGGTGATGTATGGGAAATCTGCTGCATCAAAAATATTTAGTGTACCTGATTACAAAACTCTCAGACTAAATATGGAAACAGGTGTAACTTGTAGTCAGAAATGTATGCATCTATAGTGCAATCATTGGTGGGGAGTGTTCAAAGACAAGGAAGCTTTAGAAGAAATATGTAATAGAATACTCTGTGCATTTCTCTAATGCGTAGAGAACATTCGGGAGACCAGGGATAGTGATTCACTGATGTGTCTCTTCTAAAAATATGCATAAAAATCCATAATGGTTTTTACATTGCAAACAATCCACATGGAATAGACCTGGAATAGAACTGGATATATGAAAAAGATGGAGACCGTGGAAACTAATTTGACAAATCTGGCATCACTAGCTTTTAACCTTTTCAGATCTGAGGTCATTTTTACCACCCAAAATATGAGACTCATTTTATCAAATTTATCATACTTTTTCATGATTATAGTGTCTAAGATAGGTCAGGCTTTGATTGAACAGTCCTGCTGAAACTCCAACACCTGCATTGAAGACAAGTGTTTTACTACTTTCATCGTTTTAGTGTCTAATATTGTCATTTATTTAGATAACAGAATATGCATCACCTGTATTTAGGCCATGGATATTGCTGGGTTATCTTATTCTCTTCTTTAAAAACTATATCTCATAGTAAGTAGTGTCTCATAAAATATGGTAGAGATGGTCATGTTAATCAATATATTTTCAAATTTTGAAAAAGTGTGGCATTTGATAAAGATTAACTATCTTTGTTTGTAGTATAGTCACTGGGAACTACCAGCACATCCTGGCTTTGGCATTTGCTGTGAACGAGATCAATCAAGACCCACATCTGTTACCCAACATCACACTGGGGTTCCGTATTTATGACACTTGTCTGAATGCATGGTGGACCAATCATGCTGCAGTTGAGCTTATTTCTTCATGGAAGAGCCGTGTTCCTAATTATAAGTGCGATATTCAGGACAATCTCCTGGTGGTCATTGAGGAACTGACGTCTTACTTCTCTGATGAGATCCAAAATATTTTTGGTGTCTACAAGATACCACAGGTAAGATGTATTTGCCAGTTTATTATTTATATCTGATTTTGTAGTACAGAAAAAGCAACAGATGGGTGTAACATCAAGAAACAGGTATTATGTGTTGTGCTCAAGCACAAATCATTACCCATTTCATTTTGAACATTTATACCCATTTTTCCATGATAAAATAAAAAGGAATTTTATAATTCCATGCAGAGAGAACAAAGCAAAACTTTAAAATTATAGTGTCAGCATAGTTGAAAACTGCATAGACACAGCTATCAACCAGGAAATCTTCTCACACACCCCCTACCCTATTCTCATCTTCTGTTTTCTAGATCACACATGGCTTTTCTTCAGTTGAAAGACGAGGCGCCAAACTTCTGCCAATCTATCAGATGTCTCCAAATGGATCCCATCAGTACAAAGGGATTATTCAGTTGCTTCACCATTTCAAATGGAGATGGGTTGGATTTTTTGCTGCAAATGAGGAGATATTAGAATGGTTTGTGAAGGAAATGCTTCCAGAATTTTCTAAAAGGGGCATCTGTTTGGCTGCCATGGAATCATTCACTAGTATAAATTACGACGCTGACAAGGATGGTTTTATGATAAGTTCTATAACATTTTACAATAAACTCATAAATAACAAAGCGAACGTGTTGATCTTTTATGGAGACTCGCGCACTACAATACCACTGAGGTGGCTGCTGAATCAAGAATTCAAACAAAAAATGTATCAGCCAAAAGGAAAGGTTTGGATACTAACCATTGGGTTGGAGTTAAAAAACATTGCCAGAGGAAAGAGTTGGGAAGTACAAGACTTCCATGGAGCATTGTCCTTCACACTCCACTCCAATGAACTTCAAGGATTCCAACAATTTATCCAGAACAGAAATCCTTACAGCCATAATGGAGATGATTTTATCAAAGAGTTCTGGGTTGAGGCATTTGGTTGCTCCTTTCAGGATTCTGTTCAGGGACATTTGAGTGGGCATATCTGTACTGGAGAGGAGAAACTGGATAATCTCCCTGAGCATGTTTTCCCAATGAGTGTCACAGGCCAGAGCTACAGCATTTACAATGCTGTCTATGCAGTGGCTCATGCTTTACACACCATGTATTCAACCATATCCCAAACCAAGGCAGTTATGAAGGGAGAGAGAAGGAACCTTCATGAACAGCAGTTGTGGCAAGTAATGGACTTAAACTTTTAATCTGGAGGATGTTTTATGTATGATTGTGAGAATGTGAGGTCCAGCCAAAGAGGAGTGTTCCTGTATCACCACTGATAATGAAAGGGCCAAAGGAATTCTGTTGAAGAGGCTGAGATTCCTGGAGCTGGCACCTGTCTTTCTACCATTTTATAGAAGCAGAAGAATATCTCCCTTTCCATTCTTACAGCCTTGTTGCCAGTCTGCCATCCTTGGCATTTTGAAGCAGACATGTGAAAACAACAACAAAAGTTAGAACTGTTCTAGTTTTCTAGGTCAAGTAAATCGAAAATGGAGCCATTTGAATTTCTGAACAATGAATTTGTTCTCAGTCAGATTGGACAAGAACCACATTGGCTTTGACTGACTCAGGATAGGATCCTACATGCTGGATCAGGCTCTGAACCTACTTGAGGGTCCCATGTCACCATTCCAGTATATTTCTTTTCTTGCCTTGAACATATATAGATTGTTCCCACAAAGACAGTTAAATCATTTTATGTTGTACAGACTTTCATTGCTTATTTATTGTCCCATTGATTAAGGAAGTATTGCTTTGTGGTAAATGATTTACAGTTACCATTATAATGGAATGCAAGGGGGGGAAACATGCTGGACAAATTCCTGTTCATGTTGGTGTAATGTAAGGCTATGCTGATGTAAATATCCTGGGTGTTACACTGGGCAATTCAGTTGTAAAATGGGCTGTGCCTCCCTAGAGTAGTTGCACAGTGTGCCAACAGGGATGCTTCATGGATAGCACTTCCACTTTATGGTGCTATCATAATCCCCACAGGCACAACCTTGAGTTGTGTGTGCATAGTTATACAACAGGATTTTGCCCACTGCATGCAAAAAGCCTGTGCAAACAGGAAAGAGATAGTTAAGCTTCAGCTCAATAAGCTGGGTACTTATTCTTAAGTTCTCTGTGAACATTATATTCATCAAAGGTACAGTTTTGGATCAATTTTCTTTACCTTTCCAAGAAAAAAAAATCCATATGTTTTCTTAATCTAGGTCAATCGCATTCTGAAATCCGTGTCATTTAATAACACTGGGGAAGAGGTTCGCTTTGATGAGAACGGGGAGCTAGTTGCTGGATTTGATATCATTAATTGGGTCACATTTCCAAATGAATCCTTTATTGGAGTCCGAGTTGGAAAGATGGACCCCTGGGCTCATCCAGATGAAACATTCAGCATTAATGAGGATGCTATTGTATGGCACAGCTGGTTTAATAAGGTATGACTCTTTTGGGCTATCTTCATTCTGAATGAACATATCCATGTTGGGTGACATTGACTTCTGCAACATGATATGTCAGTAAAGTTTGTATGCTGTCTTGCAGTAAAATGTAACTTTGTATTCTCGAAGGCTTTCACAGCTGGGATCTGATGGTTGTTGTGGGTTTTTTGGGTTCTTTGGCCATGTTCTGAAGGTTGTTCTTCCTGATGTTTTGCCAGTGTCTGTGGCCGGCATCTTCAGAGGACTGGAGTAGGAACAGAGCATGGACAGGGTTCCTACTCCAGTCCTCTGAAGATGCTGGCCACAGAGACTGGCGAAACGTCAGGAAGAACAATCTTCAGAACACGGCCAAAGAGCCCGAAAAACCCACAACAACCATCAAAATGCAACTTTGTTTCTCTCCACATGCATTGAATTCCTTCTTCCTCTCCAGAGGAAAACTTTGTATAATCCTTCAATACAGTTATATTTCATCATGTTTCTTACACTCCAGAAATTGCTCTACTGTGATTTGGGTTAGTCCCATTCTGCTGAAATCATGAGTTTCAATTACAGTTTTGTTAGCTATCAGGTTAAATCTGAAGGCAAGATTCATATCTGATTCAACTTTTTACTGAAAAAGCAATGCACTCAATCAATGTTATGCCAGAGTGCTCTATTTCAGGGAGGCCATTTGCTTTACAGAAAACTAGAAAACACTTTTGGTACAATTCCAAAGGGAAGGGCAGGATAAATTCATTAATTTAAGATATAAGATAGATTATTGTCAGACTTAGAATAAATGAAAGGAAGCAGCAAGTGATCATTTATTTTCCTGTTCAAGAACAAAAAGAAAATAACTTTTTTTGCCATCACTTCCAGTGGCTTTTTAATATGAACACACATTGAAATCTTGTGCTTCAGTATGGGACCTTTTGGGGAGAAAGGTGGGGAAAATATTTTAAATACCCCAGCCAAATGGGCAACTATCATAGTGCAGCATAAAAATATCAGAAGTTGCATATACTAAGTCCTTCTAGTCAGTATTCACGACTCTCATTGGCAGCAGCTCTTCAGAGTTTCAGTTAGAATCCTTCCGATAGTCTTTCCTTAGCACAGCACCTCGTATTACCTGGTGTTCTCCCATCCATATACTAACTGAGCTAGGTCCAATCCTGTTCAAATTCAAAAACCACAATGACATTGAGCATATTTAGTATAGCACTTTTTCTATTGGATTCCTTGAAATGCCAACAATTTTTAAATAGAATAGAAAAAAAGTAAAATAATTTCTCACATACTATGACAGTGGTAAGACTATTTTGAAAACTGATAGATTTGAGCCATTCAGGTTGAGTTACACTTCTTTCTTAAAGCATTTTCTTTCTTATTTTACTCTCAAGTGGTCTTTCCTTAGCACAGTACCTCATATTACCTGGTGTTCTCCGATTCGTATACTAGCTAAGCTAGGTCCAATCCTGTTTAAATTCAAAAACCACAATGGCAATGAGCATATTTAGTATAGCACTCTTTCTATTGAATTCCTTGAAATGCCAACAAATTTTAAAAAGTAAAATAGAAAAATGTAGAAAAATCTCTCACACTGTGACAGTGGTAAGCTTATTTTGAAAACGGATAGATTTGAGCCATTCAGGTCGAGTTACACTTCTTTCTTAAAGCATTTTCATTCAAAAACCACAATGGCAATGAGCATATTTAGTATAGCACTCTTTCTATTGAATTCCTTGAAATGCCAACAAATTTTAAAAAGTAAAATAGAAAAATGTAGAAAAATCTCTCACACTGTGACAGTGGTAAGCTTATTTTGAAAACGGATAGATTTGAGCCATTCAGGTCGAGTTACACTTCTTTCTTAAAGCATTTTCTTTTCTTTTATTCCCAATCCTACTGCTGAAAAGAACAAAATGGCTGCCCTTCCCAGCCAAATGGGCACCTATCATAGTGCAGCGTAAAAAGATCAGAAGCTGCATATACTAAGTCACACCACTGGTCCTTTTAGTCAGTATTCTCAACTCTCATTGGCAGCAGCTCTTCAGAGTTTCAGTTAGAATCCTTCCGATAGTCTTTCCTTAGCACAGCACCTCGTATTACCTGGTGTTCTCCCATCCATATACTAACTGAGCTAGGTCCAATCCTGTTCAAATTCAAAAACCACAATGACATTGAGCATATTTAGTATAGCACTTTTTCTATTGGATTCCTTGAAATGCCAACAATTTTTAAATAGAATAGAAAAAAAGTAAAATAATTTCTCACATACTATGACAGTGGTAAGACTATTTTGAAAACTGATAGATTTGAGCCATTCAGGTTGAGTTACACTTCTTTCTTAAAGCATTTTCTTTCTTATTTTACTCTCACTTGGGAGATAAATTGAGGAAAAGGTACTTTAAAATGTTTGTCTTCACCAAGCAAGGGTGTAAGAAATTTTGCGGCACTCTCAGTAACATAGGAGTATGAGATTTAGATTCCCCCCCCCCAAGAAATTAAACAAAAATAGGCAACACAATGCTTTAGATATAAGTTTAATACAAGAAACATATTTTGCACAAAATGGTGGTAGCTGCTGCTTTGTTGCACAGGCTTCTAAGGATTAGAAGCATTGAATGGGTTGCTTGTGTCTTTTAAAAAACACTCATTTGTTCTAGGCTTGACATGATTTTTTTAGCTTTGCCTCTTAAAGAGAAAATATACTAGTTTTGCTCAAAGAAGGTCTGAAAACTGTGGAGATCTTGGTCAGAAAGAAAAAAACACTAAATTTTTCTTGTTCTCTCTTGAAGGTAAGGAATATCTCAAGAGATATGGAGTGTCTCATCAAATGGATACAGGGCCATTTAAAGAGAGCTAAGAATTTAGAAGACAATTCTTTACATTTTAATCCCAAAAATTATTAAGAAAGTGTCCAATAACTACTTTAATCCATTTCCAGTTGCTACTCAGTACACATTGTTCCTGCATATGATGAAAGATGTGCTCACTTGTATTCCTAATACTCTATACCATGGTTAGCAAAACTCCATTACATGTCATGCTTACTTCTGAACCTTAATTATTTCAAAGCCATTTTTCTCAAGAGTAAAGTTACCTTGTTCTTATTGGTGCACAGGCCCAGCCCCTTTCCGTATGTAATGCCAACTGCCAACCTGGTTATAGGAAGAAAAAGAAGGAAGGGGAGCCCTTTTGTTGTTATGATTGCATTCCATGTCCAAAAGGTTGGATATCTGATAAGGAAGGTAAGTGTTGGAATCTACAGAGATATTGACTCAAGTCAAGAGACTCACTGTCAAGTCGGACTTCAGGAGTGTTGGAATCTACAGAGATATTTGCATTGTTCTATAATCCAGAGGAACTTGCATGTAGCCACCATGCACAATGCCCACAGTGGTCTCTATGTGCTGAGATGTGTTGGTTGAATTCATGTGCTCCAGTGTTGTCTGTTTCCAACATTTAAGACATGGTTTGTTGTTGCACACATTTGAGCAGTAGAAGGAATAAGTAGTGATGGGGTGAGACATTTGTCCTTGACCTTATTTAGGCAATATTAAAATACGCTTCTCCCTGAAAAGAATTTTAAAAGGGGGGGTAGATGCCTGATCTTTGCATCTTTACATTGCATCTTTACATTACATCTTATAATGTAAATAGAGACTGCCAGATGATATGGCTACAAACCAAGTAAAAGTCAGACCAGGGATGTGCATGCCTGAAACTTTCATTTCTGTTTCAATTCAGCTTCTCGCAGGATTTCCCCTTTTTAGCTTACTTTGTTTTCAGGGTCAATTTCTTTTGTTTGCCATGAAAAGAAGTACCTCTTTCAAGGCATTTTCCCTTTCAGAGGCATTAGCGGCAAGGATGGGGAGTCAAGCCAAGAGACTCACTGTCAAGTCGGACTTCAGTTGCACCGGTGACTTGACTCAGACTTCACTCAGGTTTCTTTTTCAATGACTCAGACTCATCTCATGACTCAGAACCCACCCATGCCCTCCAGTTTTTCCTGGAGGGGGACCTTGTTTTTAATACGGACTCAGACTTGGGACTTGGGACTCGGGACTTAGTATGACGGGCGACCTTGTTTTCAATACAGACTCATACTTGGGACTCAGGTCTTAGTATGAAAGACTCAGACTTGGGACTTAACCCAAAGACTTGCCAACATCCCTGATTAGCAGTGATGGCAGGGAAAGCTGGGCTGGCAAGAGGATGAAGACTGAGGCAGCTTTGAGTGAAGGAGGGTGAGGGGAAAGTGGGAATGGCACTATCGACAGAAGGATGAATATGGTGGCACTATGAAAAGGAAGATGAAGGAAGACAGAATTGATAGGATGGCAGGAGAGTAAGAAGCATGGGGAAGGTGGCAGAGAGGAGAAAGTAGAGTTGGCCAAGGTGACACCAGAACAAGGAGCCACGGCAATACTGAGGAAAGGAGAGGGAGGAGAAATTGGACTGACAATTGCTTCATGCTTTTGATTTGTTTTACGTTGGTTTAGTAACTTGATTTAATCTTATGGCTTTATCTCTGTATTGTTTGTTGTTTATTTTTATGGTTATATTATTGTATTTGCTTTCATGTGACTGTCAACCACCCAGAGTATTGCCCCATACTATTCAAGTGGTCTTAAAGTTTAAGAGATAAATAGCAATTAAATATGACAAGGTTGGCAGCAGGACAAGGAGCCTGGTGGCTGTGGTGAGGGGAGAAAGGGGAGGGAAAGGCAAGCTGACAGGGCAGGCAGGAGAGCAAGGAGGGCAACAGCAGTGACAAGGGAAGAAGGGAGAGTAGAAAGAGCTGGTATGGAAGACCACAGAAGACCCTTATAGTCTATAATCTATAGAGGAGGAGGAGCAGTTGCAAACCTGGGAGTCATCTCCCCATCATTTCCATTGTTACAGGATAAGTATTAACTTTGGAGAGTACCTTGTGGGGACCACCACAATTCACACCATTCACATAGGTTGGTGTATTTTGAAACAGAAAATAATGCATCATGTCTACCAGAATTATTAAACACTCCTTTTCTATGATGCAAACTGTGAAAGAAATAAAAAATAAGTCAGGTTTGTTTTTACAGATTTGGACAACTGTTTCAAGTGTCCAGAAGATCAATATCCAAATGAGGACCAGAATTTTTGCATTTCCAAGACAGTAACGTTCTTATCTTATGACGAACCTTTGGGTCTTGGTTTAGCCACCTGTGCACTCTCGTTTTCTCTCATCACTGTTCTGATACTAGGAGTGTTTCTCAAGCACCGAGAAACCCCCATCGTCAAAGCCAACAATCGGAACCTCACCTACACTCTTCTTATCTCCCTCCTTCTCTGCTTCCTTTCTGCATTGCTCTTCATTGGCCAACCTGAGAAGGTAACCTGTCTCCTCCGGCAAACTGCCTTTGGCATCATCTTCACCATGGCTGTTTCTGCTGTACTGGCCAAAACCGTCACTGTGGTTCTAGCTTTTATGGCAACACAGCCAGGATCCAGGATCCAGAAGTGGATGAGGAAAAAAATGACCAGCTTCATTGTTCTCTCTTGCACTGTTCTTCAAGCAGGCATTTGTCTTGGATGGCTGGCCACTTCTCCTCCATTCCCAGACACTGACCTGCATTCCATGCTGAAAGATATTTTACTGCAGTGTAATGAGTCATCACCCACAATGTTTTACCTTGTGCTGAGTTTCATGGGCTTTTTGGCTATTGTTGGCTTTGTTGTGGCTTTCTTTGCTCGGAAACTGCCAGACAGGTTTAATGAAGCCAAATATATCAGTTTCAGCATGCTGGTATTTTGTATTGTTTGGTTGGCTTTTGTTCCAAACTACTTGAGCACCAAGGGAAAATCCATGGTAGCTTTGGAAATCTATTCCATTTTTGTCTCTAGCATGGGTTTGTTAGGTTGCCTTTTTTTCCCAAAATGTTATATAATTTTGTTGAGACCTGAACTAAACAAGAAGGAGTGCTTCTTAAGGAAGAAGCATTGAATATGTTTTTCTCTCCATAGCTGCCTTCTATAGTCCACATCAGAAAATATGCATTGGAAGTGAGATGGGGTCGTTCTGAGAAGACCATGGCCAGAATCCTACTGGCAGTCATATTTAACATGGAACCATTAAGTCAGTGAGATGTCCATGAATAATGACTCGCCATTCATTAAGGAATTCATGGGGTCAACCCTTCAGTTGACATGAGTATTAGGATAGTAATTATCTATCTATAGATCATATAGATACAAATCAAATGTAGGTATGGACATTTGCTATCTACTTTCCCTTTTACTTCTTTTCATTGATATCAACTTGTTGGAGAATTCTGCTTTTAAAGTTCTGTATACTGCCCTGCTTTACCCTTATCATCTTCACAGTATTTCTGTGGTGCAAGTTACATAACTTGAGAGATTTTAAAAAGATCCAAGGTTAGGTGAGTTAGGTAGCTGGAATTGGGATTTGAACTGGAGTCTCCCTGGTCTTAGTCCAATGTTCTAACCAGCACACCACAATGTTCTAACCAGCACACCACATCAGTCAAAATCACCAGCACCACCACTATCTGCACCCACCCAGTTTTGTCTAAGAACACACAACTTTGCTGAAAGACAGCAAAACTGTGATAGAAATGTTTCTTTTAAGAGGCAAGCTCTGTTCAGCTATGGCTAAGGTACCATAATGAATTTTCTCCTACATACTTTTTTTAAAAAAAGGTATGGTAAGTGCAGCAATCACCCTGCCTTTGCTCATGTATAAGGTTATTTGCATGCACCAATAGTAGTTGTTTGGAGGTGGAGCCAAAGAAACTAGAAAGGAGGGGGTGAGGAAAATAAGAGCAGTTAGTTAGAGTTAGATAGATAGTCAGGGGGGTCGGAAGTGAAAAGTGAGTTAGAGAGTTAGGGAGTGAAGAGTTAGCCAGTGGAGAGTTAAGGGAGGCAGTTGAGAGTGTGGAACTTATAGAGAGTTAAGTGTGAAACAAATTATTACAAAACTACTGAATACTTTAAAGTCTTTGAAGAACCTGTTTATGTGAACTGTATCAAAAAAAACTGTTTTGTTAAAATGTACATGCAGTGTGGACCTCGATCTTTCTAAGTAAATATTGTTGACAGAGGTCAACTGGTGACAACGTAAAAGGGAATGTGGCATGGACCTTAGGTTAGTGAAATAATCTGGGGACACACAAGTGGCACATCACAGCAAGTTCCTTCCATTGTTTATGAAGTAATTTTAATATTTGTAAAAGGGTTATACTTTCTGATCTGCCAATGGAGATGATGTACTGTTACTCCTGAACTTGTTGTGCTTCCTTCCTACATTGGCTCATGATGTTGCTTAAGAATATAAACAAGGAGGTAAAATGGCTACTTCCAAAATGAGTAAGTGAATATTCTTCTTTGTATAATTGAGCAGGATACAATAATCAGGCCCACATCATAAGAGAACAAATACTAAAGTTTTCTACAATGCATATGTCAGCACTCACTGACTTTATAAATTCATTTAAATCGTCATCATTTAGTCGTTTAGTTGTGTCTGACTCTTCGTGATCCCATGGACCAGAGCACGCCAGGCCCTCCTATCTTCCACTGCCTCCCGGAGTTGTGTCAAATTCATGTTGGTTGCTTGGACGATATTGTCCAACCATCTCATTCTCTGTCATCCCCTTCTCCTCTTGCCTTCAAACTTTCCTAACATCAAGGTCTTTTCCAAGGAGTCTTCTCTTCATTTAAATAAGGAAGTCCTAATGTTAAACTACTGATGTCTCTTCCAATTTCACAGCAATTAAGTTGGCAGACTTTAACAGATATGTGCTTTGGTCAACTTAAATTGGTAGGGATGGGCAAATCTTCCAATCTCACTTTTGCTCAAATCTACATTTTTGTAGATTTTGAACAGTCTGGAATATAAACTCCACATGATAAGGAAACATACTCCCCAAAGTGCTACTTATATGGGAAACAAGAGGTATACTTGTGCCTGCCATGTGTTTCGAAACATAGAAGGAAAAACTACTAAGTTTAAAGATTGTTACAGAGACGGTCTTCCTTTGGAAGGAAGAAGCTGAGTGTGTCAGGGAAAGCAAGAGCAATGCTATCAGAAAGCTAGACCCCCATTATGAATTGAGATGCTTATAAAAGGCAGTAGAGTCAAAGGTGACACACTAGGCTAAGGTACACCCCTTCTCTTTGAAAATTAATAATTGAACCAGCAGAAAAGAATCAATCATTCCAGTGTTGATGGAGGTGGCAAAATGACTGAAGGGAAACTACTGGGAAGAAGCAGTAGGAGAAATGAAGGAACTCTCATAGACAACAACAGTGACACTCTAGCTATCTCTGGTTAGTATTGTACAGAAGACAGCTGTAAGCCACCTCTGAATATTTTATACCTTGAAATCCCTAGTGAATTAGCCACAAACTGTGTCTAAGTGCAAGTAGAAACTTTGTGTATGTGCCTAACATTGGAATAAAACCTTTAAGTATTTGATTTTAGCAAACTTTTTTAATTAGAAATCATCTTGATACATAAATAACAGAACAACTGAACACATATAGCTTATATTAAAAGTATTGCTCCAAAGGGTCCCATGGGTATGGGGGTGCACTGTGTTTTAGATTATATTAGTGTTTTGTATTCTTGTATTTGTTTTTGTTTTGGAAATTTAAATAAATAAATAAAAAATTCAGATTGTCCCAGACATGGAGCCAAATTCCACTTTGAGAATTGGTCAGGAGACTGATTTCATAAATCCTGAGAATGTTTAGTGAAAGCAGTGTGGGCTGGGACAAAACAGAACTATGTGCTTTCACATCATATGGGAAAGTATTAATAATTCCCTGAAGATATATGGCAAAATATACTCCCTTTCTGGAGGCCTGTCACTCCATTAATTTTTTTTTTGAAAGCAAACTCATTTTTTAAACTCCTTTTCATAAAGACTGTGACCTTTTGCTTCCCCCAAGTCCTTGTGATATTCCCTTTCCCACCAAATCAGCTACAACATAGCTTTTGCTGAAGCTCTTCTTATACCATACATGCTCAGTGTTTTTCCCATTGAAATGATTTTTGAGTCTTTATTATTCCTCTTCCCACAGTATTAGATACCCACAGAACTTGTTGAAAAACAGTCCTGACAATTGTGTTGTGCTTGGGTAAGAAATGGGCAACTGATGAAAAAAGGGGCCAGATTCTGTGATTTTCACTTGCTTGATGTTATTTTCCAAATGGTAGTGAGCTCAAGAGGGGATCTTGTACACTAAATTAAATGCTCACATTGGTGGTGCCAACTTTCCTATTAGCCTCTTCTATGTGCATCTTGAAATACATTTTCCTTTTAGCGACACAGAATGATATTACAAGGCAATATTTAGCCATTTTCTGGCATTTTGAATAATGGATACAGAAGCAATATAGGAGGCTTTTGCAAGGATTGATATTTTAGTCCTCAGTGCCTTATTCTTGAACTATTTCACATAAGTGCATCAGACTAAGTGCTCTATCCAAGATCTTCTTTGACAGCTTTTGGGAAATGGGAGCAATTCTGACATCCTCAGGCATTTAACACTTCATCCTTAAAGGACAGAGGCTCTGAGAGAACATCTGCAGTTTCCTTCGATACATTAAAATACAATTCATTGGATCCTGAAAGCTTTATATTTATATAAAATATGACTAGATATTTCACACAAGCCCTATTTGTTGAAACCGATGCTACAATATTATACAATGTAATCCTCATTAACTGTTTTTGATGGAAGATTAAGTTCATAGAAACTGACAACAACTCTCAAATCACCTGGAAAACTTATCAAAAGCTCGGAAGGTACAGAACGCTGCTACAATAAGGACCCTTGTCTAATATTACCTTCTAAAATGCTTTTTCACGTTCAATTCTGTCTTCCTAATAATAATAATGTAACATTTGGGGACAAATATGCAAACCAGCAATCCACCCCCAGAGGCTAAAATAGAGAAGATCTCTATGGCTGCTTTATATTTTCCTTTCATGCTGAAATATATTGCAAGGAAAGACAGCCACACACTACAAGACACCAACATACGTAAGTTATAAACTTGGCTTCATTAAAATTGTGGCTTCATAATATTTTAACAATACAACAGACCTGATTATTTCCCCTTGAGGAAGAAAGCATAACTTGATTGACCACAATCATACAGAAAAATGTAGACAATTTAGAACCTAACCCAAATTTATCCTAAAAAGCATATATTAAGCTAATGATATAATAGCAAAGCAATAATTTCTTAAGGTGCAACAATGCAGATGGGAAAACACAATTTGATCCACTGTGATTCACAGTTTATCAAATCAAGTTTTCCTACATGAAATTACTGTAGCCATCCAGATGAGAATTTTCAGGAATTGGCAGGAGCCAAAAGTGAAGAACTTGGTTTGCATGGAGCTCCAACAGCAGAAGATGCTTTCATATGCTAAGAAGGTGCTGGCTGCCAATTTCCACCACTCTGTTTTTTTTTTTCTCCTTAAATTGCAATTGTAATTAAAATTGTGGGGTAAATGGTGAATGTAGTCACCCTAAACTAAACTTCACTAAATCAATACTGTCAGAGTATAGAAATTTTATAGGCCTGAAAAAAAAATTGCAATTGTAATAAAAATTGTGGGGCAAATGGTGAATGTAGTCACCCTAAACTGAACTTCACTAAATCAATACCAGCATTGGTAAGGGAAAAATGCATGTTTTATTTATGTTCACAATGCTGCACGTCACACATAAACCACACATAGATTACACTTGAATCACTCTGAACATGATGCAATGACTTGAAATCAAAAGAAGACCAGGTGCAAGAGGATGAAGTCACCTGCATTCTGATTGGACTGAACAAAGCCATGTACATGTATATAAGTGGACTGTGTCTTTGCTTCTCTCTCTTCCTCCACTATCACTTGCTGCCACGCATGCTGTCAGATTGTACAAAGAGTTCCTGCTGTGCTGTTAAGATACCTGCCTGTATATAACTGTAAATACTTGTAAATACCACCGTCTTGCAACAAAATAATAATTCTGCGTTTTCTACTGTCGCCAAAACCGTGACAAATACCAGCATTGGTAAGGGAAAATACATGTCTTATTAATGTTCACAATGCTGCAAGTCACACATAAACCACACATAGATTACACTGATCATTACCTGCCAGGTCTGAAAATTCTGAGGTTTCCTTTTCTTTCTCTTCAGTAGAGTGGGTGCATACATGGTATGTAAGGCATGAGCCACTGTGTAGACTGTGTTGTAGATACTATAGCTCTACCATGATGTACTCTTTGAGAAAATGTGGTCAGGGAGGCTCTCCAGCTTTTCCTCTCCACTGCAGATGCTCCCACTCCCATCTCCCTCAATAGAATCCAGGAAAGCACAGTTGAATGCATTAATCCGAAAGTCCTTGATAAAACCATCACCAGGAGCATTGGAAGGGTTTCTGCTCTGGAGAAATTGCTGAAATCCTTGAATTTCATTGGAATGAAGTGAAAAGGATATAGACCCATAGAAATCTTGAATTGCCCAAAATTGTTTGTTCATGGATATGTTTTAACTCTCTTCTACTGGTCAGAATCCAAACCTTGCCTTTCATTCTTTTCATTGCTAATTTTGTCATTTCCATGAGCAACCATTCCACTATGGTCATTCTATGTGCTTCTCCACAGAAGACCATCATGTTGACATTGCTGTTTATGACTTGTTTATATATTTTCATCAAGCCAGTCTTATAATTTCTACTCTCAACATCATGATATAAACCGGTGAATGATTCCATGACAGCAATGCAGATGCCAAGCCTAGAAAAATCTGGAATGATATTTTGAATGAACCATTCCAAACTAATGGCATCTACAACAATGATCCCAATCCACCTCCACTTGAAATACAGAAGCAGTAGCAGGATCCCCTTGCTCTGATAGATTCCATTTGGTACTATTTCATATAAAGAGAAGTGGCTGATGATGTCTGCATTCACAGTACCATTGCAATACATGAGCTAAAGAATAAGACAAGCAGAAGCATAGATGCAATTATTTTCAAGATTATTGATAGATTCCATTTGGTACCATTTCATATAAAGAGAGGTGGCTGATAATGTCTGCATTCACAGTACCATAGCAATACATGAGCTAAAGAATAAGACATACCAGAAGCATAGATGCAATTATTTTCAAGATATCTATTCTTTTGTTTTTTGATGTGAAAACAATGTCTGAAATCTTGTTGCTCAGTGTAGTAAGTCACAGTTAAAGTAGGACCATTGAATCAGAGGGGAACGGTGAATCAGCTCCACCATAAATTAAATTGATTCAATGGGCCTAATCCAACTTAAACTCTCTATGGTAAACTACAGTGTTTCAGTCAATACATTTCTGCTTCTGCATCTCGTAAAATGGTCATTTCTTTCAGCAATAAATTAGAAACACTCTCTCATGATTATTGACTGATTTAAAGTTTAAAGGTAAAGGTTTCCCCTTGACATTTAGTCCAATCATATCCGACTAGGGCGCAGTGCTCATCCACGTTTCCAAGCCAAAGAGCCAGCGTTTGTCCGAAAAGTTTCCGTGGTCACGTGGCCAGCGCAACTAGACACGGAACGCTGTTACCTTCCCACCGAGGTGGTACTTATTTATCTACTCCTATTTACATGTTTTCGAACTGCTAGGTTGGCAGGAGCTGGGACAAGGGATAGGAGCTCACTCCGTCACATGGATTCGCTCTTACGACTGCTGGTCTTCTGACCCTGCAGCACAGAGGCTTCTGCGGTTTAACCCGCAGCGCCACGATGTCCCCATTGACTGATTTACTAATGATTTATTCAGCTGATCAGGTGCTATAGCACTAAATAGTCACAGCCAGAATGAAAATGATATACAAATGGTGTCTAAAAATGGCACACACAAATGCCTGTGCACACATGATCACCATGTACCCACCTGTAGTATCTCATACATGTTCAAAATATATGGGATCTGGTGGAGCAGTTCAGGCCTCAGTTCCTCAATGACTGTGAGTAGATGGTCCTGTTTGCCACACTTGTAGTTGGGGAGAAAATTCATCTTTGGAGAAATAAATTGCAGTATGGCATGATAAATCCACCCTGAAGTCACATGGCTGTCATAAATATTGAAGCCTATTGTAATATTGGGTAAAAGTTTGGGATTCTCATCGATCTCCCTCACAGCAAATGCGAAAGCCAGGATATGCTGGTAGTTTTCAGTCACTACACTGTAAAGAGATTTTCAGGTTTGTGTCAGAGACTCAGAGGTAGAACATTTTATTGCTTGTGTTTCTTGTTTATTGGTATCTTTTCAATTCTTTGTTTTATTATGCAGTTTTTACTCAAGAAGTGATTATAACATAAGGCCCTTTTGTTATTGTACAGGGCATGAAATTTGTCCAATAACTCAGTAAGACACAGATTAAGAATACCGTATATGTACTACTAGAAATGATACTATTTATCAAGCCCGAGTGCTCATTGGAAGGACAGATCCTGAAGCTGAGGCTCCAGTACTTTGGCCATCTCATGAGAAGAAGGTGTGAAGGCAAGAGGAGAAGGGCACGACCGAGGATGAGATGGTTGGACAGTGTCATCGAAGCAACCAACATGAATTTGACACAATTCCGGGAGGCGGTGGAAGATAGGAGGGCCTGGCGTGCTCTGGTCCATGGGGTCACGAAGAGTCGGACACGACTAAACGACTGAACACACACACACATTTATTTGTTTGTTTGTTTGTTTGTTTGTTTGTTTGTTTGAAGTATTTATATGCTACTTTTAAGCAAAGTTAAAAGCCAATTAATAATATTTGAATCCCAAATTAATATTTATATATATATTGCTTAGTGAAGACTCCCTAGAAAAGACCCTGATGTTAGGAAAATGTGAAGAGGAGGAGACAACAGAAGACAAGATGGTTGGACAGTGTCATCAAAACAACCAACATGAATTTGACCCAACTCCAGGAGGCAGTGGAAGACAGGAGGGCCTGGCATGCTCTGGTCCATGGGGTCACAAAGAATCAGACATGACCAAACAAATAAACAACAACAAACACAAAGGTGATGTTTGAGCTTCAGAAGCACAACCTTGCTATCAGTATCCACAAACACCCATGTAATGCCAATATCGTGTTTCCCCAAAAATAAGACAGGGTCTTATATTAATTTTTGCTCCAAAGAACATATTAGGGCTTATTTTCAGGGGATGTTTTATTTTACAGCCATGTCATCTTCTGGTTGCCACGCAATGCTGCACAATGGTGGAGGGTGGGGTTTCAGTTAACGAGGGCTTATTTTTGGAGTAGGACTTATATTACGAGCATGCTGAAAAATCATACTAGGGCTTATTTTCAGGTTAGGTCTTATTTTTGGGGAAACAGGGTAGCACAAATAAGCGTATGAGGTGCTTCTAAGAGAAATTAGTCCTTGTGAGAGGTTCATTACCAGTGCTCTTGATAACCTGTCTATTCCCACCCCATATCCCCTGGAAGGTCCACAGGAGACAACAGTTTCTGTGCCTCTGGTGGGTGTTGAAACTGGTTTCCAGCCCAGAGAAGAGGAGGAGGAGGAGGAGATGAGTGATGAGAGCCACAAGGGCCAGGAAGACAGAGTGGGCCTGGACCAACAGCTGGGTAGGATAAAGTTGAAGAAGGAAGGGAAAGAGGAAGTGGTCTGGGAAGGGAGAATAACACTAGATGTTTCCAAAATGACGAGAGAGCTGGACTCCACTGAGGTGTGGCCATGGTGTGGCTGTGGTGGGGCTTGAGTGTAAACAGGAGAAGCAGGAAGCAGGGAAGAAAGACCATTGGGCCAACACCTTGGACTGGGAGGTGTGCAAGGCTCAGGAGGCAGTGCCAATACTTCTGAGATTGAAGGAGGGATGGGAAATGGTCCACAGGCAAGATCCTGAGACCAGTGATTGATTGGAGCTGCTGGTACCTCCAGAGGAAGCTAGCCAGGTCTTGCAGGAGCAGGTACAGTACTGAGAAGTTCAAAGGCCCAAGAATCAGTGCTGTTGCTAGAAAAAGTAACAGGGGCAAGTCCCTTCAGAGACCTCCCACAGTCATCCTCTTGCTCAGCCCCCAAAGTTTCTCCACTCCACTCCTTCATGTCCTCTACTCTCTTGTCTTGGGGGAGCTAGCCAGGTCTGCATAGACTTTTGAGGAATCTCTTGATGGGTCAGCAATAGCTTGCAGTGAGCAAAGGGGAATGGCAGGGGAGGGATTCTTTGCTACTCACCTGAAGGAACACCTAAGAACCTACATTAAGCACTCCTGCTTCAGGACCCCTTGCCTCCCTCACCTGCGAGGGTCCAAAGCTATGCACCTCACAGTGAAAGCAACAAATTGATAGTTTCCTGAGGAGAAAGACATCAACAGTTTCCTTTGGTACCCTAGGATATAACTTAAAGCCTTTTTCTCATTTAACATGATTACGTGTGAAATTCAAGTCCTCGTGGCGCAGTGGTTAAAACGCTGTACTACAGCTAAAACTGTGCTCACGACCTGGGGTTCAAATCCCAGGTAGCCGGCTCAAGGTTGACTCAGCCTTCCATCCTTCCGAGGTCGGTAAAATGAGTACCCAGCTTGCTGGGGGGGCAATGTTGTGTGAAATTCAAGTCCTATTTGTTTAAACCATTCATTCTTATGAGTTTAAGATTATGTTTATTGAACTTGGTAAAACTAGAAGGTCACTTGGTAAAATGAGAAAAGGTCAGAAGCTTTATAGAGATCATTATAGAAATCAGCTACAGTCAGAGGCCCGGTTCAGTATTTTCTCCTACTAAAATGCTCCTTCTTATTCAATTCAGGTTTCCAAAGAATAATGTAGCATTTGGGGACAAAGATGAAAGCCAGCAACCCAGCACCAGAAGCTAAGATAGAAAAGACTTCCACAGCTGCTGTATATTTGCCTTTGGTGCTCATATACGTTGGAAGAAATGTCAACCACACACTACAAAACACCAGCATACTGAAAGTGATGAACTTAGTTTCATTAAAACTGTCAGGCAATTTCGGGGCAAGGAAAGCCAGAATGAAACATGCCATACCTAGAAATCCCATGTAGCTGAGGACAGAGAAGAACATTAGAGGTGATGACTCATTGCATTGTAGTATAATTTGTTCTGGCAGTGAATGCATGTCAGTATCAGGAAAAGGAGGAGAGGTCTCCAGCCACACAAGGCAAATGCTTGCTTGAATTATGCAGCAAGAAAGAACAATGGAGCTCGTCAATTTTGTTCCCATCCACTTCCTGATCTTGGATCCTGGTTGTGTGGCCATAAAAGCTAGAACTACAGTGAGGGTTTTGGCCAGTACAGTAGAAACAGCCATTGTGAAGATGATGCCAAAAGCAATTTGTCGAAGGAGACAGGTCGCCTTCTCAGGGCGGCCAATGAAGAGCAACGCACAAAGGAAGCAGAGAAGGAGAGAAATAAGAAGAGTGTAGGTGAGCCTCCAGTTGTTCGCTTTGACAATAGGGGTTTCTTGATGCTTCATAAATATGCCTAGTATGACAGCAGAGATAAGCGAAAATAAAAGAGCACAAGTGGCTAAAATGATACCCAAAGGTTCTTCGTACGATAAAAAAGTTGCTGTCTTGGGAATGCATACATTCTGATCCTTGTTTGGATAATGGTCTTCATGGCATTTGAAACAGTCAGCCATATCTGAAAAATGAAAAACAGTATTGTTACTATGCAAATATGCAATACTCTATGTTCTTCTAAGATATACTGAAGACTTCCTCATTGGACTATCATAACTAATCTGAATTTTCCCCAAGCCATCTGCTAAAGCAGTGGTCTCCAACCTTGGGCCTCCAGATGTTCTTGGACTTCAGCTCCCAGAAATCCTGGCCAGCAAAGGTGGTGGTGAAGGCTTCTGGGAGTTGGAGTCCAAGAACATCTGGAGGCCCAAGGTTGGGGACCACTGTGCTAAAGGACACTTTCCATGGGAGGATCCACTTTGTGGATGTCTAAATCAAATGTCTGAAACCTAGTCTTCACGAAACCTGCAGGGCTCGTAGAGGAGAGTCAGGGGAAGCCTCTATGTGATTTTGGTGTCTCTGGATGCCTAGGGGGGCATTTTATAGTTTAAAAAAATAGATGAAATTCATCAATTCACATTTTTTGCAGGGCATTGCTTCTGACAAACATAAATCAATGAGTTAGCGATTTCTGTGAATTTTTAATTCAGGTTCCTCTCTAATTGCCAGTCTTTCTCATGCCTGTTCTCTCAACACTAGATGTCTACAGCAGTCTCCCTTTGTGTTACAGACAGGAGTGTGATCCCAACATGTTTCTGGAAGGTCTGCTGATATTATTTGCCTTCTTACTTTAAGATTTCAAGCTCATACTGACCCTCATAACACAGCGGAGAGTACAGTGGTGCCTCACTTTGCAATTGCCCCGCATTACAACGAAACCACATTACGATGATCTTTTTGCGATCGCAATTGTGATTGCAAAACATTGGTCTGAATGGGGTTTTTTTTTCGCTTTGCAATGATCAGTTCCCTGGTTCAGGAACCGATTCTTCGCAAAATGATGATTTTCCTCCAGCTGATCAGCGGTTTCAAAATGGCCCCCGGGTAAATAGAATGGCTCCCCTCTGTTTTCTGGGACGGATTCCTCGCAAGACAGCCACCGAAAATGGCCGCCCTATGGAGGATCTTCGCTGGACGGTGAGTTTCCAGCCTATTGGAATGCATTGAAGGGGTTTCAGTGCGTTTCAATGGGCTTTTTATTTTCGCATTACGACGTTTTCATTCTACAGCAATTTCGCTGGAATGAATTAACATCGTAATGTGAGGCACCACTGTAATTTTTTATCAATACATTGTTCTCACACATTCCCTGCTCCCAACATACATGTACTGCAACTCTACTCTCACCAGGTTTGTCAGATATCCCTCCTTGTGGACACAAAATGCAATCATAGCAGCAAGAAGGCTCCCCTTCCTTCTTTTTCTTCCTGTAGCCAGGGAGGCACTTGGCATTACAGAGGGAAACAGGCTGAGTCTACCCAACAAGGAAAAAGGAGATAAGAAATATTGAGAAGGAATATTGAGAATATTTCCATGGTAGCTTAGGAAAGGAAATGGCATTGCATGAACTGAATATTGTACCCCACTCTCCTATCCTAATAAAGGCCTCTTGTAGCAAGAAGAGCACATAATGTATGGGAGCTATGAGTGAGGACACCCACTTGGCCACCGCCACTCTGAGTAACAGCACTGACAAATATCTTATACAGTGATTTCCAAAAATTTGACTACTCAACAAATCAAGAAAGGTAATCTGAACCCATCAGGAGACTGCATGCTTCAACTTCTAACGATCAAAAGAGTGTTAAAGAGGAGAAAGACTTTATTTCAGGTCCAGGGTCTTCTTCCTGTAAGAGCTGAGAGAACAGAAGCCTATGAGAGAGAGAGAGGATTCTACTTCTGCATAGTACTTTGTGGGAACTGGAAGTGTTTTTGTGGGACAGAATAGTAAGGAAAGTCCAACTCCATACATCATAGGGAGGTGATACAAAGCAATTGAATCACCTTACTCAGGAATCACTACCAAATGCCTCAGTGCCCACTGAGGGCAAACTCTGCTTCGCTGCTGTATGCCTCAGTGCCTGCTAGGGTGAACCTCTACTTCACTACCAAATGCCTCATTGCCCAATGGGACTAAACTCTACTTTGCTGCCATATGCCTCAGTGCCCACTGCAGGCAAACTCTACTTTGATGCCAATTGTGATGCTGCTTAAGGCAAACTCTACCACAGTGCCGCATGCCTCTGTGTGCCTGCTGGAGACAAACCAAACTACCTCAGTGCCAAAGATCTCTCATTCTGCTGGGGCCAAATCAAACTCCCTCAATGCCATCTGCTTCTGTGCCATGTGGCAAACTTTGCCAGCTGGCTCCGTCACTTTCCTGGGGGGGGGGCCCCAATTTGTGGGTGAATAACTCAGATGTCTGATATCCAATCTTCACCAAACTTGGAGGGCTTGTTGGGGAAAAACGCAGGAAGCTTCTTTGTGATATAGGATTCTCTAAGTACCTGGGGGGACCTTTCTGGGGTTGTCCTCCTTGTGACTATATAACTCAGGGGACTGGAATCCAAAATTCACCAGACTTGCTTGTCTAGTAGAAAATAGTCTGAGAACATTTCCCTGTGAAGGTGATGTCTCTAGGTGCTTGGAGGCCAGTTTTATAGCATTTTAAAGTGAAAATGAATTGACAAATTGATTCATCAATTCATCAGAGAATATTTGCAAATTTGTATTCATAGATTTGGTAACCTTGATGAATCACAAATCACAAGTTTTTTTAAAAAAAAAACTTACATACATGCCTGCACTCAAGTCCTACCTGGTTAAACCACTTGTGCCAGACCATGACATCCTTATTAATGGTGAGTGCTTGAGTTGTAGGATCCATGGGGTCCATCCATCCAACCTTCATTCCATAGAAAGAATGATTTGGAAAGGTAACCCAATTGATGATGTCAAATCGTGGAAGAAGCTCCTCACTGTAATCAAAGAAAATCTTTTCCCTGACACTGTTGTTATATCTCACAGACTTCAAAACCTGGTGGAGCTAGGTTAAAAAGGAAATACCAATATTATTAACAATATACCAGACCTTTGAGAAAGAAAATGCAATCTGGATGAATGCAGTCTTATACAGAAGAAAATAAATCATTTTGAACTTTGTCCAAATTTCTATCACCAACATAAATCAAGTTAATAATATTCAATTCACACAGCTGGGGCAAACAGACAATAGAAAGGCAATTACTCCATCGTAACTGTGAAGTCAGAGATTAGTTTAGTTTTCTGTGGATCTGTTAGAACTTCAGGTTGGGCTCAAATGGTGCTGAATACTTATATGTATATATTAGAGATGGAGGTATACATATTTGTACAGTGGTGCCTCGCTTAGCGAGTGCACCGTATAGCGATGTTTCCGTATAGCGATCCCTTTTTCGGGATCGCTATACGGAAACATACCCGATCTTCGCAATGGGGAAAACCTGCATTGTGGAGATCGGGTATTGCGGCGGCCATTTTGGAGCCGCCGAACAGCTGTTCGGCGGAGAAGGCCAAAGACTGGAAACAAGAGATGGGGGTATTCACACAGCTGGAGTTGATATCCACCCATGCGTCTGGTGTTGGTGTCACTCTTCCTTCCAATTACTCCTGGAGTGTCACTCAGCTAGCAACTCAGCAGCCTTGCAGAGAGACTCATACTCCCTCCCCTTGCCCCAAGTGGCTAGCCAAGTAGGGCTCTGGGAGTGATTGGAAGGAAGAGAAGGGCCACCACCACTGCCAGATGTGTGAGTGGACAGTCCAGCTCCAGGACGGCGGTCCCTCATTAAGTCCAGCTGTGCAAGGGTATTCATATTCATTTACAGATACCCCCATCTCTAGTATATATGCATGAATTTATTTATTTATTTATTTATTTATTTATTCATTCATTCATTCATTCATTCATTCATTCATTCATTCATTCATTCATTCATTCATTTAGATTTCTATCCTGCCCATCTAGACCAAAGATCTACTCTGGGTGGTTATATCATGTTCTCTATACTACTGAGGGTCCTTCCTTATAACAAATATAGCAGACTGAGTGGCTGAAGATCTGTAGCACAACTTTACGCTATGCAACAAAGGTGTTGTCATAATCTGGTGATGGTACTCTTTGTTTTAGTTTAATTTAAGACTTCCTAACCCTTCCACCTTTGAAATTTCCAGGCTACCTATGGATTCTTTTTAATCTAAATAAGTATTTGGCAGCCTCACAACAGGGAATGGGTGGGACTTGGGGTTTCATATCTGAACTTTCTCACTAGTAGTCCTCCCATTGGGTCAGGACTGCCGGTTTCACTCTAGTAGAGATTTTCCAAAATGAAAGGCTTCCTCACTATTCTGAGGCTCCCAAAGACTTCCCAGAGCAATAGGAATCCCTAAGGACTCTTAGAACCTGAAAGAGTGGGATGGGTGGATAAGAAATTTAAAAATAAATTAGAATAAATATTGCCAAGTGACGGCATTGTCCCTTGTTGCAAGGCACAAGGCACACAGACTGGATTTCAAATGACTGAACTGAACTTATAATATGAATTATAAAGCAAAGGTAGAACATACATGACATAATGATTGACATACATTTCATCAATGTATTTCAATCCCTGTGTCATGTATGTTCTACCTTTGTTGTATTCTTCAACAGACACATTTTCAAAACTGCATTACAGAGGACACTTCATGAAAAATCTGCCATGAACTGACTTTCTCCTCCTCCATTAGGGAACCCAACCCCATCATTTTGGTTCACTTTACAAAACCCGCCTTACATCTTTTGTTATTACTAAGAAGACTGATTTTTGTCCTTTGATGGTAATTTTGGGGTATCATCCAGATTCTTATCTTCCATGCAATTGTGGTAAAACATTGACAGTAATAACTTTCTCCATCTTCTGCTTACGCCTTTGGTTTCTATGTCTGAAGAGCTGTTTGACTAGTTACAATACTTTCAGGTCATGAAAAAGGCTGGACTGGACGAATCGCAAACTGGAATTAAGATTGCCGGAAGAAATATCAACAACCTCAGATATGTAGATGATACCACTCTGATGGCAGAGGAGGAATTAAAGAACCTCTTAATGAGGGTGAAAGAGGAGAGGACAAAAAATGGAAGAGGACAAAAACTGGTCTGAAAGAGGACAAAAATGAAAGAGGACAAATAATGGTCTGAAGTTCAACATCAAATCAACTAAGATCATGGCCACTGGTCCCATCAGCGCCTGGCAAATACAAGGGGAAGATATGGAGACAGTGATAGATTTTACCTTCTTGGGATCCATGATCACTGCAGATGGAGACAGCAGCCATGAAATCAAAAGACGCCTGCTTCTTGGGAGGAAAGCAATGACAAACCTAGACAAGCATCTGAGAAAGCAGAGAATCACCTTGCTGAAAAAGATCCGCATAGTCAAAGCTATGGTTTTTCCAGTAGCGATGTATGGAAGGGAGAGCTGGACCATAAAGAAGGCTGGCCGTTGAAGAATTGATGCTTTTGAACTGTGGTGCTGGAGGAGACTCTTGAGAGTCCCCTGGACTGCAAGGAGAAGAAACCTATCCATTCTGAAGGAAATCAACCCTGAGTGCTCACTGGAAGGACAGATCCTGGAGCTGAGGCTCCAATACTTTGGCCATCTCATGAGAAGAGAAGACTCCCTGGAAAAGACCCTGATGTTGGGAAAGTGTGAAGGCAAGAGGAGAAGGGGACGGCAGAGGACAAGATGGCTGGACAGTGTCATAGAAACTACCAACATGAATTTGACAAAGACAGGAGAGCCTGGTGTGCTCTGGTCCATGGGGTCATGAAGAGCTGGACACAACCTAACGACTAAACAACAACAACAAATACTTTAGGGTGGGCTTCTTCATGGTTTTCACAATTTGCACAAAATATACCTTGCACAAAATCCCTAAATTTGCACAAAACCATTGCCTTTTCTCTTTGCAAATTTCAACACACACAAACAGCAGGCTCAAAAGGAGAGATTGGTTGATAAGATCCTCAAAAACCCCTCCAGTGCTATGATTGTTATTCATACATGTAAGAAAACACTTGTGCCATTGCTTCATACTGTACATGGTGTAGAAAAAATAGAAAAAAATATAGACGTATGGACATTTCCTCTAAAATGAATAGCAAAAACAATGCCCATCGAGTTGTCTATCATGAGAGAACAAAAAAGCAGAATTTATCTCCCAACTAAAAGAGAATTATCTTCAAATGATTAACTTGATTCTATAAATAGCATAATTATTATGGGAGCATCCGTGGTGCTGCGAGAAGGTTTATACTGCTTCAGGTAACACATAAATCATACCCAGATTATATTATTGACTCCATTACCTGCCAAAGTGTAAAATTCTCAAGTATCCGTCTATTTCTCCTCAGCAGAGTGGATGAATACATGTCATGCAAAGCATGAGCCACGGCATAGACAGCGTTGTAGATACTGTAGCTCTCCCATGTTGTACTCTTTGGGAAGATGTGGTTGAGGAGGCTCTCCAACTTTTCCTCTCCAGTGCACACATCTTGACTCTCATCTCCCTCAACAGAATCCTGGAAGGTACAGCCAAATGCATGAGTCCAGAGGTCTTTGATGAAACCATCACCAGGAGCATTGGAAGGGTTTCTTCTCCAAAGAAATTGCTGAAATCCTAGAAGTTCCTCGGCACGAAGTGAAAAGGATATAGAACCATGGAAGTCTTGAACGCCCCAAGTTGTTTGTCCACTGATATGTTTTAACTCCATTCCAATTGTCAGAATCCAAAGTTTGCCTTTCGGTCTTTCTGTTGCAACTTTCATTGCCGTTGTGATTGTCCACCTCAGTATTGTCATTCTATGTGAGTCTCCAGAGAAGATCAACACATTGGCGTTGCTATTTAGGACTGTATTATACATTTTTACTATGCCATTCATATTCCCAGCCTCATAATCCAAATTGGTTAAGGACTCTATGACAGCAAAGCAGATGCCACTCCTAGAAAATTCTGGAAGCATATTTTGACTGAACCAATTCAAGGTCCTTGTATCTGCAGCAAGGAATCCAATCCACCTCCAATTAAAATGCTGAACTAACAAGAAGATTCCCCGGTATTGCTGGATTCCTTTTGGGACCATATCATATAAGCTGAAGGTGCTGGTGATCTCTGTGTTGACTGTACCATAACAATATACGAGCTAAAAGGAGTTCAAAAGTATAGAGGTAGTGGTTTTCAGGTTTATAAAAGTTTTTTTTAAAAAAAGTTGAAAACAGACAATATATTTGTACTTTTGTCTATGTTAGACTTATTTCTATCAATAATGAATTACAAGCACTCTCTTGTGGTTATGGACATCTTTAATTAGGATTTTCTGAGCTGAGTGACCCCTATAATGCTACATATTCACAACCAGATCTAAGAGAAAAATGTGCAAATGTGTCTGAAATGCACACGGAAAAAACAAACACACATATGAATACCACAAACCTACCTGTGGAATCTTGTACATGCCCAGAATATATGGTATCTCATCAAGGAGCCTGGAGGTCAGTTCCTCAATGACTGCCAATAGATGGTCCCGGTTGCCACACTTGTAGTTGGGGGTGAAACTGTTCTTTGGAGAAATAAATTGTAGTGTAGCATGATAAATCCACATTGTAACCAGAAGGCTACCATAAATGTTGAATCCCAGAGTAATATTGGGTAACAGTTGTGGATTCTCATTGATCTCATTAACAGCAAATGCCAGAGCGAGGGCATGTTGGTAGTTTTCAGTTACTACACTGTGGAGAGATTTAGAGATTTGTATGACAGGCAGAAAATTGCATTAATCACATTTCTTGCAGAGGTTTGCCTGATACAGTTTTATTCTTGATTTTATTAGCCCACTTTTACTCAAGATGTGATGTCCACAATGAATATACAGGTGAACCCTTTTCTTGTATCTCAAGAATACATGGTCCAATAATTGATTGGACGACAATAAGGGATACACTCCCAATTAAAAAAAGTATGCACCTGAATATTAAAGCGCCTCTAATCTGTCTGAAATTCATTCATCTTCTAGTCCCTAACACAACATTAGAAATGACTGTTTGCATAAAGAGGTGTGAACCCATGCAGTTATACAAATGGAAGACCAGAAGTGACATCACTCATTATGTCATCCTGGCTTGTATGATCATTTTCCAAAACTCTGGCACTAAATTAAGTGATTTTACTGATTTGTGTGGTTAGGGTGGGAGTCACAATATCATAAAAGAATATCGACACATTCTTGGGAAAGAATGGGAAAAACATGGCACAGAAACAAAACAAAACAAATCAAAGGGAAGATTGTGCTCATGAAAATGCCTCCTAATAAATGTATTGTTACTGACTGTCCAAAGCTTGAAGTGGTCTTTTGAAGAGGAAAAGGAAATCAATTCCAGATGTCTCCTTTGGATATATTAACACGATATACTGAAAATGAGATTCTTGTTGCTTATCTTTCACTTCACACACAAAATAAGAACTCTGCACAACACTCTATGCTACTCAGACACTTTTTATATGAATAACTTGGTATTTTGTCCATTGCAACATTTATTTCTCTCACACAACACTGGAGAAGGGAATGAATGAATAAACTAACGTATTATCTTGTATAGATGCAGATGATTTTCCTCTGAAGCTTGGTGGCTTGTATAAGAAAGTAGACTGATACAAGATGCCTCCATAGATGAAATCTCCAGGCTGATAATACCTGCGAAGAGGAAGAGAACGGCATGCCTCACAGTTAACAACGTGATGCTGGCACGCCATGTAGGGAAACAAAAGCAGAAGCAGCAAGAACTCCAGTATCATTGTCTTTAATGCAGATCCGCCTTCTCGACACATACTTCCTTGTTTGCATCTGCTACTCGTATAATCATGACAAAAGCCTGACTTAAAACTGTTCTGTTTGCAGATCCTATCAGAGCCAGATATGGAAAACACAAGGTAATAGAAATACATCTAACAGAATCAGTATCAGTCTGTAGCCTTTGTCTCTTTCCTCTCATATGTTTAGGGATTGTTCTATTAACCCTCACCAGCTCAGTTACTCCTTCATTCTGAGTAAAGGTTTTCCTTTAGTTTTATTTCATTATCATTAGAATCAGAGTGATTTTGGCTGTCTGACTTGAATAATTGTTCTGTCTACAGATAGGTTTGAAGGCAGTAATATCAACCCTGAAATAACCAAAACATCAATCCCTGGGAGATTTGGCACCTTTTATTTCCGAGTGTTTATTCTGAAGTGCAAAAAGAGAAATAGTTAAACAATTCCCTATGATCCCAGTATTGTTATTGTCCACCAGAATTCCAGAGGGGATTTTTAAAGCAGCAGAAGCAATCTGAACTTAATTATAGGCTACAATCAAACAATTATCAAGCAACAATCTTGCATAGTCTGCACTGTGGGTTTTTCTCTTTTTTTGGTGGCACTGGTGAACACGACATTGCCCTCCCCACCCCAGAATGAAGACATGAGAGAAGAAATATGGGTTTAAACATGAGCCACACTTTATTAAGCATAATCAATGTTGCCGTCCTTTGGCAAAGGGGGGTCCTGCCATAATGTGGGATCAACTTTAAGCAAAGAGGTATCAAAGGACCCCTTAATCAACAAATGAATGAGTCAATGGCCCCATGTTTTCATGGTCTTAAAGATAGCGAGAACCTGACCCGGCCCCAATTTGACCACCCCCGGACCTCAAGACAGCTTCTCCTTGTTGACTGTTGGTCCAAGTGTGGCCCCAGCGCATCTTTCCCCCCAAGCACTGTAATCGCACAATCCGCAGCGCTGGGAGGTCAGATGGGCTATAGCTTACAATGGAGATTGCAATGGGACTCACCAACAAAACCTTTTATATCCACACTACTTGCCACAGAATAGGAGCTAGCCGAGATCAATCCCATGCCAGCCATTGAGCCGATCAAGCTCAGAAAGCAGCCCCCCCCCTTGACGTCTTCCAAGAAGACATCCAAATCCAAATCAGACAGATGGACACCATCATCCCGAAAAAACTCAGGCCTATCCGTACAGGTCCTCTGGTGACTAATGACCGATCCAAGGCTGCTGGAGACCGCTCTGCAGACAATGTGCACACTGTTAACAGAGAAAAAAATCCTGTCATCTCTCCATGCCAGTCGAGGAACAATCATTGACCACACAATATGCATGGCTGGATACACAGTCTTCAGCCATGTCAAATCGCACAGAATGTCCTAGATCAATGCCTTTCCGTGACACCTGGCAATATCATTGCCACCCAGATGTACCACGAACAAATCTAGGGGGAAATGTCCAAATGCAACCACTCTGCATAGATGGATCCACATCATCCCACACAGCCCTCTCCACTCAATGTGGGCTCTGGTTCAAAGAAGACTTAAGGGTCATTTAAATCCATCCTATTCTACTTCTTTTTTTTTCTTTTTTGCCCCAACAGCAGCCACGAAATTAAAAGATGCCTGCTTCTTGGGAGGAAAGTGATGATAAACCTCGACAGCATCTTAAAAAGCAGAGAATCACCTTGCCAACAAAAGTCCAAATAGTCAAAACTATGGTTTTTCCAGTAGCGATATATGGAAGTGAGAGATTGACCATAAAGAAGGCTGACCACTGAAGAATTGATGCTTTTGAATTGTGGACTGCAAGGAGAACAAACATTAGAAAACTATAGCACTTACCCTTTATGTTCTTGAGTCTGAACCTGCTAAATTTCAGTATCATCTATTATTTTAACATTTCATATTGTCCAAAGCACAGATGATATTAATTGTATAACCATCGTGTGTACAGTGATTTTTTAATGAATAACTAACCTGGTCGCCTACCTAACCAGCCCACTCCACCCACACACACAAACACACTCTACAGCTCTACGGTTCTCACCAGGTTTGCCAGATATCCAACTTTTTGGACATGGAATACAGTCATAACAGCAGAAACGTCCCCCTTCTTTCTTCTTCTTCCTGTAGCCAGGGAGGCACTTCTCATTACAGAGAGAAACAGGATGTGCCTGAGCAGAAACAAGAAAGGAGAAAACAAAGTTTAGGGGGGAAAATTCTTGGAATCATGGTAGTTCAAGACAGACCATTCTCCTTTTATTCCAAGCTGCATAACCGAAGAATCATATTGGATCAGATCAAAATATCCCTGATGATTGCTTTGCGTTTGTGTGAGAAGTGGTTAAAAGATGAAAAATTGAGTCAATTTCTAGGATTTTCCCTTGTGAATGAGTCATGTTGAGGGACTCCTGTTCAATATCTTGACCATTAAACTGTAGAGTGTCTCAGAGTTCCAATGATTCCCCATACTATTTCACATATACTGCACCTGAAAAGTATATCATGCATGAAATACTAATCAAATTTGACTTGCAAATTTGATTAAAAGATGAAAAATTGAGTCAATTTCTAGGATTTTCCCTTGTGAATGAGTCATGTTGAGGGACTCCTGTTCAATATCTTGACCATTAAACTGTAGAGTGTCTCAGAGTTCCAATGATTCCCCATACTATTTCACATATACTGCACCTGAAAAGTATATCATGCATGAAATACTAATCAAATTTGACTTGCAAATTTGATTAACAAGGTACCACTGTACCTGAAAAGTATATCATGCATGAAATGCTAATCAAATTTGACTTGCAAATTTGATTAACAAGGTACTATAGGCCCCAGGGAGTACAGGGCTCCATTGTCCTCCTGACCTTGTAGAGCATGCCCTTGCGTACTTCTTCAGCCCTTTGCAAACAGCCAGAAGGGCAAGGGGAGGAGCTAAGAAGAGGATGAAAGCCAGGACTCTTAGCGAGTGCCCTTGCTTGAGCACAAGTGCCTCCTGCAACAAAGCGCAGAATAAGAAGACACAGCAAGTTTAGCAGCTGTGCACGTTTAGCAGCAGGGCGAGGAAGCCAGGGCCCCAGAGGGCCTGTCACTTCCCTCAAGAAGAGGTCTGGCAAGGTCTAAACAAATACCAGCATGCAGTCAGCCAGACAGCAGTGGGTTGGGGGCTATTCCATGTTTTGCACCCAGTGTCATATGTATGATTATATGCCTCTTGGGCAAATGACATGGGTGTGTCCTCCTTGCAAGGAGCTGCAGGAAGTCAGAGAATGGGTTCGCGCCCTTGAGGTCTTGGTTGCAGACCAAGAGAAGCAGAGACAGGGAGAAGGGGACCATCTTGTGACTTCCAGAGATTTTCAGGCATCATCCCACCCACAGACAAGTAGCTCCTCGTCTGCTGGGATTGGACATCTCTAGGATGGAGGACACTAATCTAGACAAGAGAGATATCATCCCCTGGGGGGACCCTTTCTTCAGGTGATGGACTCGTACCCGGTTGCACTGAGGATACTCCTTGTGGAGAGGGGGGAAGGAAGCTCTTGGTAGTGGGCGATTCAATTGTCAGGAACATAGAGCGAGGGATCTGTGAGGGTTTTGAGGACCGCATGGTGACTTTGCCTGCCTGGTGCAAAGGTCACAGGCATCATGTCTTCTCTGGATAGTCTTTTAGAGATTGCTGGGGAAAAGGTAGCAGCAATGGTGCATGTCGGCACCAACAATGTGGGGGAAATGTAGCCATGACCTCCTGGAAACCAAATTTAGGTTGTTAGGGAGGGAAGCTCAGAGTCAGGACCTCAAAGGTAGTGTTCTCGGAAGGGCTACT